CACAGATAGTTGTGTAGCCTATGGACCGCCATATTGCCCGTACTATAGTACGTAATTCAGCGGGTGATGCCCGCGTAATTTGGTGCATTTTCAGCGGGTATCACCCATAGGGGTTGCGTGAATCGGGTGCATGGAATGGTCATATTAAATCTGGCGAGAACTGTCAGAGAAAAACTACGCATTTTTAAAGCAACGTCAGCCCGTTCTTCATGGCACATTACAAACTTCTTCCTTCCCCAAAGTTCTCAAGAAAGTATCCTGATGATCCAAGAACAGAGGTCGTGGAAGCTGCAAAATCTCAGTGGAGATGCTGAGTTAACTCAATGAAGTTCTTGAGGAATTGAACAGTGCAGAAAGAATTTCAGTTTTAGCAGTTCATTCCTACAATGTACCTGACAGTCCGTATGGGCGTGAACGTAAAACAACACCGCTTATTATTCCTGTTAAAAATGGAAAACTTGATTGTGTGAAAATACTTTTGAAGTACAATGCAGATGTTGAAGGAAAAGAGGATTTTGAGTTTGCACTTTATCCATATCCTTATTTCTGGCGATGTGTCACACCTCTGTGTGTTGCTACTGCTTATGGAAATCTTCAAATTTTGAGTTGTTTAGTTGAAAATGGAGCTGATATCAATGCAGCCGCAAATTCTGTCCGAGGTCACACGCCGCTGATGTTTGCCGTTCATGAGAATCACATTGATGCAGTTAACTATCTTCTTGATCAAGGGGCAGATGTAAACGTGCAGCAGGAATCTGGTTATACAGCTCTCCACATTGCTGCTGCTACTGGTTATTTTAACGCCTTGAGGTGCCTAATTAAACATGGCGCTGATGTTAATGCCAAAACGGAAACAATCATACTCCTTTGATGTTGGCTTGTGACAATGTCAATGGAAAAGTAACAGACAGCATATTAAAAAATGTTGGTCGTAAAGTGACAAGTAGCGCTTGCAACTATTTTAATACTGTAGCCTTACTCATCAATCAAGGTGCTGGCTGATGTTAACCTGCAAGACAATTCTGGTTATTCAGCTCTGCACTTTGCTACTGGTAGTACCTTCACAGCCCTGATTATTATTGAGACTGATGTTGATATAATCACGGGCGACAACTGCCCCTGTGAGTTGGTACCTTCATTTCAGCGTGACATTGTGAATGTTGTGGACTGTCTTCTTCAAAATGGAGCTAATGTTGATCTTCAAGATAAAGATGGTCAAACAGTTCTCTTCCATGCTTTACGGAACCAGGGCATCCTTAATGGCATTTTAAGGTCTCTGCTTAAAAATGGAGCCAACCTTAACACTAGTAGAAATGACAAAAGCTCACCTCTAATATTAGCAACACAAAGTTTAAAGAACGCTGTGGAACAACTAGTACCATGGCTCATTGACAATGGAGCCAATGTAGATCCTCAAGACAAAGATGGTCTTACACCTCTTCACTATGCTTGTACGTATGGTAACTCAGGTGAGGTTTTGAATGGTTTGATTAAACATGGGGCCAATGTCAATGCCTCTACAAGTAACAAAGTCACTCCTCTCATGAGAGCCGCTGAAAATTGTAACGTAAATGCTGTCAGCCTTCTCATTGAACATGGAGCTAACGTGACTCTTCATGATGAAGATGGTGATACAGCGCTTCACTATACTGCAAGTGAACAACGCTGTTTGGATAAGACTCAAATGCAACAAACTATCGTGACACTCTTAACAGCTGGAGCATCCTGTTTGTCTAAAAACAGTCATGGAGTAACCCCTCTTCTTACAGCGGCAGTATAGAAAAGGTATATTTTTTAATCCAGCGACCTGAGATAACCAAAGAGCAAAAAATTGATGCTCTAGAGCTTCTTGGAGCTTCTCTGTCTCTTGACCAGTATGATTTGGGAGGATTTAGATTCATCAAGCATGGCATGAAAGAAAGGTTTGCTGATCCTTTCAAAACTGTGTTAAAGCGGCAAATGGAACCCATTGAAGCTTATCAGAACAGAAAAGAAAGTCAAACTCTTGAGGAGCTTGCTGAAATCGAAAGTGATGAAAATGCTATGATCATGGAGAGCCTTGTTGTTAAAGAAAGAATTCTTGGAAGGAACAGTGAAAATCTACTAAAATCAATTAGATGTGCTGCTACTTACTATGAACACCATCCTTTTTCTCCATGTAAGTGTATAAGGCTGTACAGACATGCAATGAAAATAGCCCGGTGCTGCAATCAGTCCGCTACATTTGATTTAAATCATATTACCAAATTATTGGAAAGCTGGCTGGAGAATGGTCTTCCCAAAGAAGAGCCTTATTTTGAATTGCTAGACCAAACAGTTCTTGATCATGACTATGAGCTGCAAAGAAAAGTGACCAAAGAACAAGATCAGTCTCTTTTTTATTCTTTTCTCCGAATTCTTCAGATGCTGAGCGGGAAGAAATTTGGTAAAAAGAACAACTTTTCAAATGCAGCAAGTTTATTAATATTAGCAGCACTATTTGTAAGTTAAACTTGAGAGATGATAACAAGAATACATTGTTGCATCAGCTCGTTAGATATCATTCCAGCCATCCTTCATGTTTGTACGCTGGTGTAGTCAAACTTCTTTTGAATGCAGGATTCAATAATCATGTTAATGCTATCAACTACAAAGGAGATAATGCGCTTCACATAGCTGTCACTTTAAGACCTTGGAATGGTGAACACATCCATCTTTTAATCGAAATGTTGGAGGTTTTGTTTGATGGAGGTGCTCATCATGATTAATTTTTGTAAACAATGATGGTAAAACACCCATGGACATGGCTCAAACTGATGAAACTTGCATGATTCTTTCTGAGAGAAGAAAAGTAGAGTTAAAGTGTATCAGTGCCAGAGTAGTCAAAAAGTTTAGAATTCCTTATTTGGGGGTGGTACCCAAAACACTGGAGAGATATATAAGCATGCATTAAAACTATTAGTTTATAGACAAAGCCTAGCAAAACTTATAGCAAGACATTCTCCACCCTTATCTTATACAGTAGCACAAAAATACTTTATTATAAATTATGTTCTTCTGGTACGCCCTGATGGTTTTGCTGCCATTTCAGGAAATTTGGCTTCTTTTTTAGGTTTTTTAGAGCTCTCTAGATTTATTTTCTGCTTTTAGATGCTATAACCCTGTCTGTATAGTTATTAAGGTATCATTTATTAATTGATTTTTGTGTTGAAAAGTTACAAGGGGTCGATTGAATCAATATATAGAGAATACTTCATGGAAAGTGCTGGCGTACAGTATTTACACACAAGTTGTTTTTTTATTAGAAATCGAACGAGTGAGCGCAGCGAACGAGTGAGATTTCTGATACAAAAACAACGAGTGGGTAAATACCGTACAAAGCACTTTACATGTGGTATTGTGTTTATTGTATACATACTGAGACATTCATCATTTTGGTGGCCTTTTTATTTTAAATCTTTCCAAAATGCTTAAATTTGCCGCTACACACCACGAAATAACAATGAAAACGAAGTATCAGCTTTTTAGTAGAAATGTTTCTTAAAAACATATATGACAGTAAGGATATGAGGTAATCCAAGAACTACAAGTAATCTTAACTGTTTGTTCTGAACGTACAATTGAAAACGAGTGAATTTAAGTGAAATGGCCGGTTTCAATAAAAGCTTAAGCTTATAAATGGAAGACAAAGTAGCTCCGACAAAAAGCACAACATAAGCTTACGTCTTGTTCTGTTTTTCCACTTCCGCTGTTGTTTCGCCGGCTCTCCACAGTTTTCTTTATTGACAGTGAAACAAACAAAACTATTCCACTCCATTTCTGAAATGTTGTTCACGTTGCGGGGAAAAAGAAAATATGTTGACGCCCCCTAACTGAGGGACATCATTTTAGCAATAATGTCCCAAGTATTCTGAGAACACCCACTTTTGAGAAAACAACCAAATCTGGCCAAAAAAATACCAGATTGGCTGTGAAACAAGTCGGAAAAAAGGAGACGATTTTAAGATTGTTTTATTAACCCATTTGTCCCTGAGTCGCCCGTCACGTAAACGCCAGTGTGGTTCCACGTCCATTCTACTGCTGCTTGTGACATCATAACCTGTTGAGAGCAAACCGTTTACATAAAAACCCATAAAACAGCCATAAATCGGCCCGTGGACCACACAGGAGAGACGTAACACACATTTTAAGTAAGGTAAGCTGTTTTT